TTGGGGTTCTTTCCAAGGAGACCATTAAGTTTATTTTTTAACAGGGAAAAACCTATGTTTTAAAGTCATCTTTTCCATAAATTTACTATGTGACCTTGAACAAGTCACATCTTTTTTTTTTAAGATTTATTTATTTATTTTGAGAGAGAGAGAGGGTGGGGGGAGTGGTAGGGGAGGGAGAGAGCAAGAGAGAGAGAGAATCTCAAGCAGACTCCCTGCACGACCCTGAGATCATGACCTGAGCAGAAACCAAGAGACACCTAACCGACTGAGCCCCCCAGGCACCCCTCACTTCTCCTTTCTAGAGGTCAATAACTTCATCCATAAAATGAAGTGAATTTCCCTTTCATACCATGAAATCTCCAAATGTGAAATGTGATTAAAACCAACACCCATTTTACCAATTTCAATGTTAGTGTAATACTGATAAAGTGAATCACCTTTCTTTAAAATAAATGATATGGTTGGAGTTCAACCATGTTGCTAAACAAGTTTTTTTGCTGTTGTTATCCAGGATTACATTTTATCAGCCTAGTCCATGTAGGAAACACCAAATTTTGTGTATCACCCATAATGCAAAGGCAAAAGCTGACTCTTCCTCTTAAATGCCTGACAGGTCGAACTCGTGTGTGTTTGTGTGTGTGTCTGTGTGTATGTGTGTGTGTCTATGTGTCTGTGTGTCTGTGTGTTTATATGTATATTTATTTGAAACTGGGCCAAGTCAGCCTAGATTTCTGAACTGACTTATACTGTCTCAGAAGACATGGTCTTTTTCCAGTTTTCTGAAAAACGGCTTCTACTTGAATGTATAAAGTCTGCAAAAATCAAGACATTAATTTCATAAACAGGGTAAAAAGGACTTTTGTTTATCAAGAAAGGCACACTAAATTGCAATAATATCTGAAGACCACAAAAAACCACGTCTCCCATATTGAAATTCAAAATTTAGCAATTTAACATTTCTCAGAGCTTATGACAATTCTACCAGCGCTGTACCTCCTAATAAGTGATATTTTATGCATCTGCAGTCTGTCTGCAGAGGAGAAGTGCATTAACTTAGCAGCAGAGCTTTGATACGTGTTTTCAATGCAATGGGCCAACTATACTCCTTGGTTAGCTGATGCAAATTTGAAGGCCGGGGGCGGGTGGGAAAGGAAATATGTTTCTGCTCATGAGGAATTCTGAAATTTGATTCTCCCTTTGTAGTAGAAGACTGCTGGCTGATTTCATTTTTACTAGTGAAAGTATCTATCACACTACTTTCCAAAAGGTAGTGGAAGGGCGAGCAGGTTGGGTTAGGAAGAATTCAAGGCGAGAGGAGAGATGGATATTGGAACGCTTTCCTGGATGGTAGCAGCTAAGACCACGTTTTGCCCAGGTGGCCATCATGACCGTATCTTCTCCCCCATCCTGGTGATGGTCGGGTGGAGGGATGAAGTTCATTCAGCCCAACGCCAGTGGTAGGTCACCTCAAGATATGGAAACCCAAACCCAACAATAAAGACCAGAGAAAAGCGAGGTGGGTGACTTTCTTACTCTGCAATATATCTTGGCATAGATATTTTTCCTATGAACTTTGATTCTGCATGTAAGTGGAATATATTTTTCTGATGTATGATTTCTGTTCCATTTGTAGGAGACTCGGAGCAGAGTCAATCACATTTTTGATAAGCCCACTCCAACCAGCAGGAGAAACCGGAAACATGCGGTCCCCGCCATTAGTGCAACTGTGACAAAATCGTTCTCTCTCAACCTTGCTCCTCAAAGTGGGGCTCTTCCAGGGGCAGCAGCAGCCCCCAAGAGTTTGCTGGAAATGCAGAATCTGAGGCCTCGCTCCAGACTCCCTCCATCAGAATCGCCAAATCCCTGGGTTGTTCATTTTTTAATGAATTTTAATGAATGTGACCACTATCTCTAGATGTTTCAGCGGCCCTTTAAAGCTTGAGGAGCACCCTTCTAGAAGAAAAGTTCTCCCATGGCTTTTCACTCCAAAGAAGATAATCCTATCAGTAGGAGGGTTCCTTAAAATGGGAAGATAAAAGTGATTTCACTTCTTTGTCGTTTTCTAAACAGTGTAAGAGCAAGGTTGAAATCAATGCTTTCCATCTCTGGATTCCTCTGTTACTCACCAGGCGGACCCTTGAGCCCATTCTCCAGGTCTTAGCTCAGATCTGTAGATAGCAAGGCCATGTTTGCATTCCACCTCACATTCCCCACTACACCATGATCTTATCTGCCCACAACAATCTCTTTTCATTTCCTCAAATGAAAGCCTGGTGGTCAGGTGTGAGAGAAACCTACAGAGACCTGCTAAGTGTCCTAGGAAACATCCAGAAACAGAACAGGTCCTTTGCTCGCCCTCTCTGCATGTTGAAACCAACACAGTCACCAATGGGAAACATCCCTCTTGCCCTTGCTCTTTAAAAATGTCAAGAATTCCGATGGAGTAGGGGCTCAGTCAGTGCTGTCAGCCATGTGAACTTGCAGATATTTCAACATCCTGCTGGCAAAACCAAAATAAATCCCATCCCCTACACAAAACAATAAACATCCTGTTTAGCTAGTCTCACCTCCCTCCCGCTCTCTCCCAGTGACTTATACAAGGCAGGTTTCTCAGGCTGCCAGGTGAGAGCCAAGAGTCATCTTTCTGTGCCATTAAATCATAGGGTTCAAGACACAAAAAGATCGGCAAGGATTTAGAATGCATGTATTCCAAACAAGAGGATTCCGTAGAACTACAGGGGGGCAGTAGTTAAGCCTCCTGGGAGAGGGAGTCAGAAGAGGGGGGCTAACATTTATGAGCATCTACTATTAGTGTATTCATCCCAGCCCTATCGCCTGCCTTTTATAGTGAGGCATCTGAGACTCAGACCCGGGCCTTCATTTGTCCCAGAGTTCCGCGTGGGAATGAAATGGGAACATCTAATGAGACTCAGTAGACAAATTTCAGTCTTTACTCACTTTCTCTCCACAGAGAAAGCCAGGTTGGAGAAGTTAAGCCCCTTTTCCAGGTATCTGAGGTACCCAGGAAAATGTAAATCAAGCAGGATGGGGGTGTGGTGGGGAGGCAGGGAGTGAGGTCAGTTTGCAGGTTATCAATGAATGAAATGAAAAAAAAAATGCTACCCTATCTTTCTTTCTGGAAGTAATTCTAAAGATCATAGAGATGCACTATAGGATAGGACTCTAAACTAGCTTTTGAAGACTAACAAAAGATCTTCCCTCTGAGGACTTGCTGCATCATTCCTAATAAAGGACAGTGTGGTATATAGAGGGAGACAAACTCCACCATCACCCTGGTGCTGTTTACATTGCAGTTGACATTGAACATCACACTTAACATTTCTCCGGTCCTTACTCCGGGGCCAGGCCCTGTGCTTTAGCTACTTTATCTCGTTCAGTCCTCCTATCAATCCTAAGAGGCAGGAATGATCATCTCCCTTTTACAGCTGAGAAAAATAAGAAAATAAGACTGAGAAAGGTCACCTCTTGCAGGTGGCTGAACCAGGATTTAAACTGGAGTCGGACGCCAGAGCCCATGCTCCTGACTTCTAGATCCCCAGCTTTCACAAAGGAAAAGGAAGCTTGGGGGTCAAAAAAAGACTACCCGGGCTGATGGTTGCTGCTTCTACAAAAATCCTCCCGAGGCTCTGTCGTGCCCAAACGTCACTGCCTTAAAGTGCTTCTTGCCTTTTATAAATTGCAGCATCCGTTGGAGCTGGGTATGCTCAGTGCTTCGTAAAATGGCAGCCTAAGGACATCTCCGGGGGCTCAGTGGGGATGCCCCTGAAGAGACCAGAAGTCACCTTACCGATGAGAGGCAAAGGAAGCCTCAACCTTTGGGTTCTTAAGAAAATTCCAAGAGGAACAGATGTCTTCTTAGCTAAGACAAGGAGCGGTCAGTACGGAACATCTTATTACCTCTCATCGCACCAATAGCAAGTAATAAGCCCAGGATGACAAAATGAGCCTCTAGAATGGCAACAATGCCCTGCAGCATTTATGCTACAAATACCAACATTAAATGGGTAAGAATACAGAAACTGTCTCTTAACAGTCTCATCTTGAGAGGATGGCTATCTTCTATGCATTATTCAGCAGTTGGCCCAGATCACGTCAAGTGTTGAAGACCTTGGAAGAATAGAATTTTATGAGTAAGAAAAGAAAATTTACCTGATGGCTGCATAACAGCAGGTAAAGTCAACAGCAGGGTTGGTTTTTTTCCCTCCCTTCTGTTTTACCAAAACATATTTTCTATGTGGCATTTCTCGAAGTGTTTAAGAATACGGACACACTTCATACACGTTTTATCACGCCTTTGCCATATTCTCTGTGAAGTGGAAGACAGAATTGGTCTTCCTTCTGGCGACTGAAATTTTATTTCCCTCATTTTCACAATGTATTACCTTTCCAATTTCTTCTAGCCAGTTCTCTCTCTCTCTCTCTCTCTCCCCGCCTCGCTCTCTCTCTCTGATTTCTTTGGGACTCAAGATGCTGACAGTGAGTTGAAGTGGAGTTGCTGATTTCTTTTCCTAGAGCGGAGAGCACCCTCAAATAAAGGCTACCCTCCTGGCAGAAGCAGATGTTGTCTGTCAACTCTCGTCCCCCTTCCTGCTAAGGACTGGCATCCAGCTGTGAATAAGTCCATGTTTAGAAGGTAGATTAAGCAGAAGAAAGACAGCCAGAAAGAAGAAGGGCCACATTCCCTGTCTGACACCAGCACCAGGTGAGCAGGAACGGCTGCTCAACCTCCCTCCCTGTGCCTGGTCGGTTCTTGCTGAGTCACAGTTGCCCCTCCAGAAGGGGACAGCTTCGGGTGCCTTGTCCCAGGCGGTGAAGGGCCACGGGGAAAGATCCTGCACGCTCGCCTAGACTACCATTTCTAACCCATGTGTCCCAGTTTCACAGAAACAAATCCACCCAAAGCCCCACCGCCCCCACCCCCCGCTCCGCCCCCAAACATTCACCACGGATGCCGTCAGGGGTGAGAGGAAGCCTACCTTCTGGTTCACTTTGGTGGCAGCCACAGTCAGATTGTGTAGGTCCTGGGGATTGCAGTCGGTTTCGTTCAGGCAGCAGCTCGGGGGGATGCCGTGCTCCAGGAAGTAGGGACTGGCACTCCAGTTGGTGTAGTTCTGCACGCCACAGCAGCTCAGCTGTCAAGGGGCAAAGGGAAAGACCCGAAGTGTGTGGGTCACAGACACCATGGTCCTCCGCCTCAGCGCCCCAGGCCGTTTAAATGAGAAACTCGGCCCAAGGCCCCAAGTCAACAGGCACAGCTTTGGTGAGTAAAGGCGAGCTGGGGTTCCACTAATGCTCATACTCCCTGGGAAGCCCGACTGAACCGAGAGAAGGAAGTCAGTCCGAGACTGCATGTTGTGTTGGCTTCCTTACCATGTCCACAAAGTAAAGCAGGGCTTCTCGGGCCTGGTTCCACATTGACATCACCTATGTGGGCTGGCCGCTCTTATAGGTATGGAGCGACTAAATCCGGCTCATGGATGGGGAAGCCAAGACAAAAATGGCTTTAAAGAGCTCTTTTTAAGGCTTATAGGTCACAGGAGCTATGCCAATAGTAAATGGATTGGGGGCGGGGGGGGGAAGGAAGAGAAAGGAGGGAAGAGGAAGAGAGAGCTGGTGTTGGTAAACTATAGCCCACCCGCTATCTGCTTTTGTAAACCAAGTTTTGGGGGGACACGGCCATGCCTAGCCCTTTACAGACTGACAGCACGGCCCTCAAAACTTAAAATAGTGACCACAGGACCCTTTCCAGAAAAAGTGCGCCAACCCCTGACATAGAGAATGTTAAAGGAAATGGGGCAAAAGTAGAAATGAATTACTGAATCTGGGTAAAGGGCATACAGTTCCTTATACTCTTCTTGCAACTTTTCTGTTGAGTTTGGAATGTTATCAAAATGCCAAAAAAAAAAAAAAATACTGCTACTGAAGTAAAAAACAAAACAAAACATGCAACCCCCTCCCCCCCGCCACCAACCAAAGAGCTCCCCAGGTGATCCAGATGGGCCGTGAGGCTTGAGCACCAGCACCTGACCCCCTGAGCACCTCCAGGAAGGGGGCAGCTACTTCTCTCACCTCCTCTACAAAGCACCAGGCAGCCTGGGGCAGTCCCACTCCTGCCAGACCCTCGGCTTCTCCCAGATGCACTGTCCACCCCCACTACACTGCCCACACCAGGAAACACAGCTCACTGGAGCTCTCCACTCAGCCTAAAGACACCACTTCTAGAATGCCAGCCTTTGGGAGCCAATGCTAAGGAAGGTCACTCATCGCCTCCTTTCCAAGACTTTGGATATTAAGGGCAAGCTAGCTTTCCTTGGGATGCTCATAATTCATCCTGATGAAAGAAAAGCCACAGGTACTGGTCCCTCTTGATGCTGATTACCCGGACACCTGGACCTTAGATGAGCACTGGGTGCGAACTCTTAGAAATGGAACTGAAGGACAGTAATCAGTAGCAAGTGCTGATGGGCCCATGCCCCCAGCAGCCCCCAAGTCTAAGGCCTGATGTCACTTACGCTGCGCTGCACGTGATCCACCGCCCGGCTCCTCTCATCATTGCCGTTGTAATTCTGCATGGCATCCGTGTAAGTCCTCAGGAAGGTATCCTTGATCTGTGGAAGGCAGGAGGAATGTGGTTCTGGTCCACCGCCACCCAAACGGACTCAGATTCATACCAACTTCTACCCCCAAAATGGCTTCTTCTGAAAAGTCTCTGAATCAATGTAGGCCACGGAGGGAATGCCCTGTCTTCTGAGACAAAAGATCTCAGAAAATTCGCTGAGGGATTTATTAGCTCAGGAATTTTTTTTAAAAAAAATGTTTTCCTCATCCCCAATCCAGAGGAAGAAGCCCGCCTCATGAAATGACCCACTGACGTGGCCAGTTTCTGAAAGAGTGTGACAGTGAGCCCCAACCTCAGGCCTGGCTTTTCTCCTGATTTTCTTCGAATTGACTGATGGCCACCTTTCTGTCTGTAACTTTTCCTGCCCTCGCTCAGAAGAATAACAAAGGGCAGGCCACTGGAAGGCAGGAAGACTGATGGCGCTGTGACCAGACACGGATCCCTGTTCTGGCAGACAGGAGTAGGGCAAAACCAACCTGCACTTAACCTGTCTCTATTGAGGCCAGAAAGAGAGGCAGAGGGACGTGAACTTTTCTTGTTACGGGGTAGTTCACAAAACCCTTCCTCCTCCTCTGGCAGCACATTTGGCCGTGGGTTAACTTTCAAGCTCTGTTCCCCTGGAAACCTGCTGAACGGGGAGCATCAGGTGTGTTACCAGGCAACTCCCCACGTCTGGTGAGACTGCCCCCGATTGCTGAAACGACTCTGGGGTGGGAGGACAGCAAATGTCACTAATTGCCTGGTGGGAAGCTTTGGGCTAAGTACGGTGACTCTCTTACAGAGGCATGCTCCTTGCTGAAATACCAGGCGCTCTGCCCATGGTACAGTTAGTTACAAGAGATCAGTGGACACTAGTCACATGGAGCTTCTAAGCCAAGGTAGATACCACACCTGGCTGTGTCCTTTCATTTCACTGCACCTGCACTGTCTCTGTGGGGTGGGCAGGTGCACACGGAATAGACCCTGGGCCACGTTGAGGACTTCCACAGGAGAAACAAGCCCCTTGCTGGTGGGCAAAGGGTGGCTTCGCACCCCCCCCACCACTCACCTCAGTGTGTCAGATGCACAGAGGTGAGGTAGATGAGGGTGCCCAGGCCCTGGGTATCCCTTTCCCCACCCCCCAGGGAGCCCAGTCATTGCAGCACGTGGGAGGAGAGGGGGCAAGGGCTCAGCTGTGACTGGGGAGTTCACACACGTGTTGGGGGGCACCTCTAGGGCTGTGGAGGCCAGGACTTCATCAGGTTTCACCTCGCCTGACAATAGGAATGGGGAATCTAATTCCAGATGCAGCACCCATATACAAAATAGGTTCTAGAAGTCGGCCTTGACACCCGGGATCGCACCTCCGGTAAGGGGAAGACCAGAGCAATGGGAAAAAGGGGCAGAAAGTGCCACGAGCAAGCTCACTGGGAACTGAACTTGGCCAAGCACAGAAGCAGGGTCTGGGACAGATCATGCCAGGCGTTCAACAGCCTCAGTGCGTTTTCCACCTTTATCTTGCTGTTCTTTTGTTTTTCCTTTCTAACACACGCATCTCTACTTCTGGCTTTACTGCTATTTAGAGGGTACAATAACGGACTGCGGGGGGAGTTAGCGCTAGTGCTTTATTGTAGCGCGTACTCTGTCTGACCTGTCACCCCTATACACATCTGACAGGGGACACCGTGGTGGCTACAGACAGCATGAGGGCATCTCATCTCTGCCTGAGTGTCTACCCATTGTCTTAACAGAGCATCCACAGTGACAGTCCATGGGAGGAGGGCCACACAGGATACAAAACAGCCAGCCATGTCCTTGAAACCACAGTTACGATCACAAAACAGTACTCAGAATTCTTTTTCTCCAGCCTCCGAAGTCTAAACTATTACGTGTCAATTAGAAACAAAGCCATGTAGGGGTTTCAGATCATGATAGCCCTCTTCTCTATTGCCCTTGGCACCACACAGAGTAGCAGGGCTCCTCGCTCCTGGGCTTGGCCTCTACCCCCCAGTTGGCAAGGGGCGGCCCCCAGCGCTCTGAGGAGGGAAGTGGGGAGCGTAGGCTATTTGGGGGAAATCAAGCAGTCACAGAAATCTCGTTTATAGACACCCACTTGTGCCTTGCTGAGGCTGCTATTTTAAAAGGAGTATATTTGATCGACACCAAAGGTCACTGCTTTAAAACAAGGTAGAGAATCATTTCCTGCAGGAGCTATATCACAAAATAGAATGCGGATCAACAACTAAGGTTTTGAGTTTGGTGAAATTCCTGCATTTAGATTTTTATTGGCATTTCAGCCCCTATGAAGTGACATTTGGAAAACAGCGATACCACTGGAGATGCCAACTGGCCTCTATGTGCCCCTCACACATTACGAGAGGTTTCAAAAATCCTCCTCCCAAAGACCCTCCAACCGAGTTCTCTACGTTGTGTACACTCACCTCATGACGGAACACAAACCCAGAAATGCCAGCTACCAGCTCAGCCAGGAACACCAGCGACAGAAACATGGCATACTGAAAATCAAGCACACGGGGACAAAGGCAGACACGTTAGGATTGGGACGAGTGCTCCTTTGGGGTAGGTGACTTCTCCATCACAGGGAATCACACAAATCCTCATATCCCCCAGACAAAGTTGAGGAAAAGTTTAAAAATACTCTTGTCCAGATTTCCCCACATGAGCCTCAATATAGAAATGTGTCTATTTAATATGCATAAGCATTTTGGGCCACACATGCTGAGGAGAGCTCATCCGGAGACTCAGCTCAACCAGGAGAAATCTGGAAGGGCTTTTTATAACTCAGGTATCCGCTATTTTTGATGTTAGAATTGTTGAGCAAGAAGGTACTCTGGGGGAAAAAAAACAAGTACTCTGGAGGTTCACGGTTCTGCCCTGTCTGGGGGTCTTTCATACCACCTTCCCCAGGATGGTCAGCTGACGTCTGCGGGCACCCTTCATCTGGCTTCTGCAAGCTTAGCATAGTCCCTCCACCCGTGTACCCCTAGCGGCCCATTCAGTTTCCAAGCTTTCCCATTGCTGGGAGGACTTCCTTTCTCTTGGCCACAGTCTGCCTACTTGTAACTTCCACTCCCTGGTGCTAGAATGGCTTTCAGAAGATCTGACAACCAGCCCAACCTCGCTCCTACACAAGGGCCCTTCATATGTGTGACCACTTCCATGATGTGAACCCGCTGCTTCTCTTCGTTTCAGTAAATCCCTCCGGTTTTCTTGAGCACATCTCCTAAAATGGCTTCAGATCCCCTTCCTTTGCAACTGTATGAAGCTCATGCTGCCAGAAAGACCAGAATGCACACGGGTCAACACTCTTCCTCAATATGGTGATCAGCCTTGAGTGTAGCACTTAGAGCAGGGGCCAGGGGCCTACTTCCCTCTCTGATTCTGCACAGCGTGTGGAGTTGATAGCCTTTAAAAAGCAAGTAAGCTACGCGATTGTTTGTAAGTATCTAAAACCCTTAGTGCTTCTTATTTGTTTCATGCTTCCTGTTCTTTCCAAGTTGACTGTGTGTGTGTGCGCGCGCATGCGCGTGTGTGTGTGCGCGTGTGCTCACGTGAGTGCGCATGCAGGGATAAATTACATGGTACTTATGAGACATTAAGGGTTTCCATTTTTGTGGCTTTGAAAAGCAGATAAAAGGAAAGAGAAGGGATCCTTTTCCTACAAGGCATATGTCTTCCAATCTGTTCCTTCTCATCTCAAAATGAAATACAACAGTCCTGAATGTTTGCAATGGTCCTAGGTGATGCTGTAGAATTTGGATAGACTCGACGTGGTCGTGTTACTTATTTGTAGAGTGTACATATGTGCACAGCAACATAAATTATTTTTCTTGGGTAGTAGCACATGTTAAAAGGAGAAAATGCTGGCTTAAAAGGCCAATTTTGTTTGAAATCTTAACAAAAGTCTCTACACACACTTAAAGCACAGCCCCTAAAATCGCAAACACAGTTATGAGTAGAATGCTCCGCGTACATGACATCTGTCTCTCAACTTAGTACAAAATGCAATGAGAAGCACATGTGACTCCAGAGAGAGTCTCACCCCAGGCCTAGAATCCACCAGAAAGTCCTGTGGGAAAGTAACTGTCAGGAGGCAGGTGGGAAAAAGGACATTTGACTACGTGATCAGATGTCCTCCTAGGTTTACATCCTAGCTTTGTTGTGGGCTAACTCTTAGGAAAGAGGCAGCCACCCTGGGCCTCCATAAAGTGAAAATAGTTATTTTCAGTTGTTTTGCAATTAATGAGGTTAAATGAGGACCATAACATTCTAGACTGACAGTTAATCAGTGACTTCCGCTCCTGTCAGCCAGATCAGCAGTTTCCTGTCTCTGGGAAGTTCCCTGTTTCTGGGAGCTTCCAGAGAACAGCTGCTTCTCCTTCAGAAGGCCTTGGCCAAAAGCCTACTGGGGAAAGCTTGTACTAAATATAGGTGATAGGGGTCGAGTTTTCCACATGTGAAAATACTGTAGTAGAGAGAGTCCTGGCTTTGGAAGGAGATGTCTATGGGTCCAATCCCAGCTCTCCCCACACTAGCTGGGTGAAGCTGGGCAGGTTATGCACCCAGTACAGCATCTAGCAGAGAAAAGGAATTGGTGTTTTTTAAAAAACCAAAGACAAAAACTAAACAAAACCTCCAAAACTTCTCTCCAAAGGCTCACCTGCTAGTGAGCTCACAATTGGTAGGAGGAAATGGCAGAGTGGTTTGAAACCGCCTTCAGCAGAGTCCAATGCTACTCTTTCATATGTGGGGACAGAGGCCCAAAGAAGCTACATCCCTGCCACTAAAGACCTAAGCCAGGTCCCCTTCCTTCTTGTTTGGACAGATAGATTCTTAGCCATCTTCCTTTTTTATGCCTCTGAAGTAAATTCTCCCCTTGCTACTCATTGCACTCAACGCGAGGCTCCCAACGCTTGCTGTACCATCGAATCCTCTAGAGAGCTTTCGGAGAATGTGATGCCAGGGCCCCAATGCCACAAATCCTGGTTCAGCTGGCCGGAGGTGGGACCCCTGGCGAAGGTGTTTTTCGAAAACTGCCCAGGTGATATAAGCAGGCATGCAGAGTTGAGGACTCGACCAAAAGCCATCCGTGTGCTTGTAAGAAACCCTAGAAGGTGGACCCAGGGCGCTAGCATAGAGTGGCAGGTGACAGCAGCAGAAATGCCTCTGTGTGGCCTCACTCTGGCTTTTCCACCAACCTGGAAAAACCCGTGCTGGCCAGGGCATCGGCCTCCCGCATGGTCTGCAGGATGGAAGTGGCGGGAGCAAACGCTACCTCCATGAGGTTGTCAAGAGAGACTAATCGGTGCCACTTTGGAAGGTGGTTCCTTTGGAGTGAGTCACCCCCACCCCCATATCTGTCACTAGAGGGTATTAAATGTCACCCTAACTTAGGGCTAACCACAGCACTGAGGGACTCTCCACTCTCCCCTTTCACAAAATGAGGCGTCTGAAAGAAATCTCTTTAAACACAATGTTCTTTTGAGGAGAGGCCCTTGGTACCTTTTATCTATAAAATCCTTTAATGTTAATGCTCACTGATGAAGAGCATGGGCGGTGAGTGGACAATTAGGCAATGAGTCTACCAAAAACTTAAGAATCATGGTAACAGCCTTATGACACCCTGCCCCTTACCCTTTGGGAAACATCATGCTGTGTGTGTCCTATTGCAGTGAAGGCACCCAGCCCTGGGCCTGATAGCCAACATTTGGCACGGCATCAACCCTCTGTTGAGTGGGGAAGCTCTGGCTTAGCTCCACTCCCATAGCGCTGAACTGGGGTGCACAGGTTGAGAAGAACATGCCCACGCAGCCAAGAATGGCCAAGTTCAAGGAGGCAGAATGTATTTCTCCAGTGGGAACTTGAAGCCAAAAGGCTGCTGATGTTTGGGATGCTGCCTTGCCCACCAAAGCTGCACATCACACACCTGAAGAGATTTCTAAGAAGGAATGCAAGACTGGACCAAGGCATCTCGCCATGAGGATATAAATGGCTTCTGAGAACCACAGGCTGCTGCTTTGTCACCACCTACCTCGAGGGACCAGAACTGGATTTTTTTGTGCCAGGCTGTGTTTGGGGTTGTTTTGCCCTCTAAGGGATTAAAGGGTGGATTAGGTAAGAGTCTGGACTAAAATTAGAGTCCATGCATATTGACTTGTGGGTGGCTTCAAGAAGGGCCATGTCACTTTCATGTGATTTATATTTTTTCACAAAGTCATTCAAAGAGCAGTATTCTGTTGTGACAGACTCACCAGTTTCAGCATCCACGGGCTACCACGGCAGGTCGCGAAGCATCCAAACAGGCCAAAAACCACGATAGTGGTGCCAGTTCCGATGAGCACGTAGGGAGCATTTGTGGAGTTCTCAGCAATCAGGGAGATGTAGGTGCCCAGAGTGAGTTTGCCCCAGACTCCAACAGCCAGCAGGATCACCCCAGTGATCTGAAAAGGTGGAGGGGAGGAGAGAAGGGACTATGAAACTGTGAAGGTGAGAATCGACACCCTCGATGTGGCCTGGATGTGAAGACTCGTATTTCCGTGGGCAAGTGGCACTTGCTTCAGGAGTCCCTGAAGCAGCGGAAGTGTCGGAGACCAGTCACTCAAGCCATCCCAGACTAAAGACACTTGGGTTTTGTACAATTAGATCTGGCCCTTACACAAAGCCATATGTGGTTACCACATGGATTGCAAGTCTAGCCGACAACAATGAACCTTTTTTTAAATCTGTTTCTGAAAAATGCATGTTTGTGCTAATACAGGTCTCAGAGCCCTCCCAGGCCTGGTCGGAGAGCCGCCACCCAATGCCGAGCTGGGCATAAGGCCATTAAGAATGTCGGCCACCCTCTTCAATGGCACGTGTGGATACGGTACGTTTTAAGGACATTTTGCATGATGTTTTAAGGAGCAAGATGATTTTCTTTCCCTGTTAGAACAAAAATCTCTATAAAAGCAAAACATTCAAAATATTTTTGAATCCCTATTGATACATTGCCTTATTTACAGTGCTTTATTCAATATAAAACAACAGAAGAATCTGAAGATTTCCTGGAATTAGCAATAATGCGATTTGGCAAATCCCACAGATCAGTCCAAAGGAAATCGCCACAGCATGTCTAAACTACAAGGACCTTGCATCAATCAGGCCCTTACTTTAGGGAACAGACTTGGGGCTACATGCTATGCTTTACCCTCCACCCCCGGCAGGCCACACGACCCAGCAGCTACAGCTGCTAAAGCCAGTTGTTGACTTTGTGTCTCTATCTCCCAGCTCGGCTCAACTTCAGTTTTCCAATAGCTTAGCCACTCGTTCAAACGGACAGCCCCCTAAATGCCACCTCTTCTGACACCTCATGAGGCTCGAAAGAAGCGTGGGTGTCCAAAGGAGCCCTTTCCCAAGTTCTGTCCCACCCTATCACCCAATGTCCTATAGCAAATGCCTCAGCTTCCTGTCCAGCCCGGCCATCCAAGTGAGGAGGCATGATGAGAAACAGGAGCAAAGCAGTAGGGTACAAATCAATACCCACCTTGCCAAGGTCTCCCCTGTCCATCAACACACTGTCCCAAATATGCGCTACATGAGGAAGCAAATGGTGGGGCCAGTGAAGATGCTTGGCCCTCTCTCCTGTACACTCCAAGAACCCCCGCAGTTTGGAGCCACCAAGATTGATTCTCTGTGTGGCACGCTCCACCCATTTGGCGGAAGGGATCAGCAGGAAAAGCAAGAGCTTGGTGATATTCCCCTACCCCCACCCCACTTGCCTCTCTACTCTGTAGAACCATCACCATGAAAGACAGAATTAAAAGCTTTGAATCAGAAAAAGATTGAGAGACTAGTGCTAGTTTTGTAAGGGGAAGGCGAATGAATGACGTGATCTTGAGGAGAAAGCATTTGACACTAATATTTGGGAGAAGGGGGCCCAGGGGAGGTCTACCGCCTTTGAAAAGTTCCATTGGGGGATGGCCTCAGGGAGTTAAGAAAACCAAGGCCAGAGGCTGCCAAGAGTTTCAAGTCCTCTGCTGACACCTGGTGGTTGCTAAAGAAAGTAGCTCCCTTGAACAGCCTTCTTCCGCCATAGGGAAGCATAAAATGGAAACAGAAAATGCTTTTCATCCACCAGAAGCAAAAGTTAAGATTCACTTCTCCAGGGGCGCCTGGGTGGCTCAGTTGGTTAAGCGACTGCCTTCGGCTCAGGTCATGATCCTGGAGTCCCGGGATCGAGTCCCGCATTGGGATCCCTGCTCAGCAGGGAGTCTGCTTCTCCCTCTGACCTTCCTCCCTCTCCTGCTCTCTGTGTCTCATTCTCTCTCTCTCAAATAAATAAATAAAAAAAATCTTTAAAAAAAAAAATTCACTTCTCCGCTCATTAGGGGTGAGAACGCAGTGAACATTAGGGAGAAGGGAGAAGGGAGAGTGCCTGGATTATCTTTTATGTCTCAATGCTTAATACAGTGCCAAACACGGCCATTTCACTTCTCTGGGTCTTAGAACATCTGCCTCATAAAAGAGTCCTTCAACTGTCACGTACTTACAAAACTTCTCTGTCGGGTGGATATTGTGAGGGGCCTTAAGATGGAACCAGAGAAAAACCTCGTCCCCTATTTCCCACTTCTACCGTTATCTGCCTAATGCTCTAAATGTCACAGTGCCGATGTACTGATCAAAACCAGGAATTCAGTTGAGCCAGGCACTGTTTAGGCTGAAGACACATCTCCTCTACAGACTTACTCTTTTTCATGTGACTGCTCCCCACCCCCCCGAGATTCATAACGCTTCGGACATATGTCGTTAGGATGCATTGGCTTTAGTGACCGAAGAGGAGTCTGATGGCTTAGATTTCTGTGACCAGCCACTTCATACAGTGCACAGCAAATATTATATGCAGTATATCAAAGTTAACCCAAATCTGGATTTTAAGGGTAACAGTATTAACATTTTGATCCCTTTTCTCCTTTGAAAAAATAATTTCTCTGAATGCCACCACTGCTTCATTATAGGACAGCGCTCTCCGGTAAAGTACAAAACCTATAATATCAACTTTGTTAAAATGTTCATAAAATGTAAATTACGTTAAAATTTATTTTTGCAGACCTCAAAGGTACCTCTTAAAGATTGCCAGTGGAAGCAAAGAAACACAACACTGTGGGCACCACATTGTGTGGGAGGAAAGCCATCCAGGATCCTGACCTAGACCAAGCCAATCATCCTCTAAGGAGCTCTCTTTCTCCTAATGACGTGGAGACTGGCATAGATGGGCCCCATCCAGCACCTGTCTTCTAGGACTCTAAGAACAGCCCAGAGAGAAAAGCCCTTCTCCAATGTTGCTCTTCTCACACTCAGAGATCCCTGATGGCCCAACTCTGTGTCTGGAAGGCCGAACCCCACCTACACAAGGCCTTCTGTGCACACCGAACCCACCTCAGCAGCCTCATCTCCCTCCCTCCTCTTTATGCATTCTATGTAGTTCCAGTAAAACTGAGCTGTTCTCTGTGTATTCCCTGTGCTTTACTGCTTCTCAGCCTTGGCTCGTGATGATCCTTTTGGTGAGAATTCTTCCCCTTCCTATCACTACCCGTCTACATCCTTAACTTGTATGGCATACCGTGCCTACTCCTCCCAGTCTCCTTACGCAGAACTTACTCTGTACTATCCCACTGTCACGCGGTGCCCTATCCCCCTCCCATGCACATCCAGGACTGTGACCCTCTTGAGGGCAGGAGATGTGTGTCTTGCACATGGTCAATGTCCAGTACGTGTCTGCTGAGCAAATGAATAAACAGCCGATGGTAGATGTGAGAAGGGACAAGAAGTCTCCTGCTAGCCGTCGACCTGCTCTACTCTCTGCAGCTCTCTGAGGAACTATCAGAAATGGTACGAAGGCCAACCGCATTGTCATCTGGGGGACATTACGATGCTTAAGGACAAAGACGAGAAGATGAACTGGACAAGGGAAAGAAGGTTGGGTTGGACTTGGGTCAAGTATGGGACAAAAGCGCCAGGCGCTTGAAGGAAAAAACTACAAACTAAGGGCTGAAGAGCCATAAAATACAAACTCGTGCTTTCTTTCATTTTGTCTACTATAATAATGCTTCTCACCAAGGATAAGAAACCTACAAAGACAAGCCCAAATCGAAAGTCATTGTTATACACTGTGTGATTTTCTTCTTGGTTCCTGTCAACAGACACGCACATGCACACGCGCACACTCCCCCCTACGTGTACCTTTACAAGCACCCCCAGGGTGAAAAGCAAGGCACGCGTTCCTTTGACAGGCTTCTTCTGCTTTTGCTCCCCATGAATAGGCTCAGGGCTCACCAAAGAAATTTTGTGTCTGAGCTCCTCAGAGCCCTGCAATTTCTAAACCCATCAGTGTGTCACTGGTTTAGCTTTCTCATGGAAGTTTTGCTTCTTTCTCAGAAGATTCCATTAGCAAGCAGCCAACAGGGTGGCTGAAGAGGGGACAGATCAGAGCCTATAGGTCAGAGCCCACACGAGTGGCCTGGGAAAGGTGCTGCCGCCACCTCACCCATTCTCATGTCGACTACGAGCCAGGAGGGCAGGCCCGGTGCCCGCCAGCAGTAGCCAGGCTGAGGCTCAGGGTCTCCTCTCATTCCCAGCCTCTCGTGGCGGCTCGACATTTTGTGCACTTCCGGTGCAGCTCAGAGTATATGGGTAGCAGAGTACTTCCGGCTACCTCTGATTTAGGCTTGGTGAGGAGGCCGAAAAAGCTATAATGGTAGCACCATAAATTGTAGACCTGAACTAGAAAATGTGATGGCTCACATTACCTTAAAATCACATTGCAAGGACATATGGGTAGGTTGGCTAATATTGCATGGGGTGTCCAAAATGCTCTGGAAGAGATTTCCTGAGGTTCGTTGTCATTTGGAAGTAGATACTGGGGGAGCAATGGCAGCAGTCCGTGTGGTCCTTTGCCCCCCCCGCCGGGTCAACACAGCTAATGCTGGAAAGTCTCCCTATCGTCCCTGCAGCGTCCTGGTCCCCTGAGAGGAGCCAGGGAGACGGTGCTTCTGTCTTTCTCACATGCCTACGGGCATTTCACTGGAACCCACTGCCTCCCCTGCCCACAGACCACAGCCTTCTGACTGAGCAGCTGTAGCTCCTCTCATGCTCACGAAAGGCTGTGCCAGGTTTGGGTCTGATGGAGCCAAGTCCATGTACTCTTTATTTCCTTAATTGCATGAGATACGAAATACGCACTTGGGTCACCATTGGCATAATGTGTATCTGTTCTTGTAGGTGGGGTTCATGAACCCATGTATTATGCAATGAAAAAAAAAAAAAGAAAGACCATGACAAACTGAATTAGAGAAGCACCAGCTCTCTCAAATAGACCCCATCCTAAGAAGCCATCTGGGATAGAAAGCACAGGAACGAAAGACCAGCCTGAAGAAACACACAGAAGAAATCGTAGGCCGAAATC